CCCTGTCCTCTCTAACAGCATCCCTTTTGTGCTCCTTCTCCCTCGTCCCTGTCATTAGGCGCTATCTCTGCAGCCCCAGGGCTGGCTGGAACAGAGCCACTGTGTTTAAAATACATTTAGAAGTCCTCTCCGTGAGAGGAAAATTGAGAAGGGACAAAAGCATCTCCGGGAGGAGGAGGTTAGGGAAGCTCCCCTCCTTTTCCCTGCTCCCCCCGGGAAGAATGAACCGATCCACAAACACATCGTGTGCATTTTTCACCTATTTCCTCTGCTAATTTAATGCAGAAAAGGGGCTGCTGGGGCTTGTGTTACACACGTGCCAGTTTTGAGACACCAGGCGTCTTCTCAAGAGCTGGCAGACGGATCGCGATGGAAATGAGCGTAACTACACATGACCTTAAAACTTGGCCCCAGAGATGCCTGCAGCTCAACACGGGACTATCTCTCCCACCTCCCCTCCCACGACCATCACCGTCTTGCGCATCCGAGAATAAGGAGTATTTCTTGACAGGTTCCTTTTGAAAGTCATCCCCTCCTGCCTTAATATCTCGGTTCTCTAAATCCTCACTCAATCTCACTTCCCGTGGACCCTCGCCTGGCAGCCTCACAATCACTGCTGTCGCCCAGCTCGGGATAAACGGACGCCTGCAATACACATTTTCCTATCCTCAGAAGGAAAAAAAAAATAATCATTCAAGACCTTGACATATTTTTCATCCCTAGCTGGGATAAAAAGGCAAAACCTGCTGTAAAATGAAATTAGATGAAGAAGAACTCCTGCCTCCCTCCCCCTTGAAAGGATTTCAGCCCATGGAAAATGTTTTACTTGGCAGATCTGTAATGGATTCGGTTTGGTTTTTACACAACCTGTTGATTTCATGCAATTCCTATAAAACTAATTTCCAAATAACCTCCACATTTTTTTTTCATTGCAAAACAGAGTAGCACAACAAAGAGGTCTTTTTCAAGACACAAGTTTGTCGAAATCCATACAAATCCACAAAAACACCGCTTCCACTCAAATGATATTCTCCCTCAGAAACCAGTTTCAGCACATGCCTTTTCTCTACAGCCCTCAGTGGCCCATAAGCATCTTCACTTGCTAATTTCTGCTCCACCACTGGGCTGGTGATGAACATCAGCCTGGTGTTCCCACCACAGAGCTGACAGACAAATGCTGTTGTAGAGCAGTCCAGCCACTGGTTTTGATCCTAATGGAGGACAAGAAACTACAACTAACTGCCACAAAACATCAAGGGACAAAAAGGAGACACTTGTCTCACTCAACTGTCGTCACCTCCTGATCAGCTCCACCAGTTAAATGCCGACATATTGTCTACAGAGTTGTGCTTCCCGATTAAACGGCCATTGCCAAAGGATAGCTTCCAAGGTTTCCCCATATCAAATAATTCATATGATTCAAAGGTATCTAGAGAGTATCTTTGCTGTATTTGGGTTATTTACTTAATTTCCTTTACAGGAAAACCTTCTCTCCATTGAACCAAAGTGGTCCAAAGACCACTCACTTGCTAATTTCTGCTCCACCACTGGGCTGGTGATGAACATCAACCTGGTGTTTCCACCACAGAGCTGACAGACAAATGCTGTTGTAGAGCAGTCCAGCCACTGGTTTTGATCCTAATGGAGGACAAGAAACTGCAACTAACTGCCACAAAACATCAAGGGACAGTCTCACTCAACTGTCGTCACCTCCTGATCAGCTCCACCAGTTAAATGCCGATATATTGTCTACAGAGTTGTGCTTCCAGATTAAAAGGCCATTGCCAAAGGATAGCTTCCAAAGTCCCCGTATCAAATAATTCATATGATTCAAAGGTATCTAGAGAGTATCTTTGCTGTATTTGGGTTATTTACTTAATTTCCTTTACAGGAAAACCTTCACTGCATTGAACCAAAGTGGTCCAAAGACCACGACATGTAACAAGAGTTAAAATGAAGACACCCCACGAAAGGGCAGGCACCTGCTCCTTGCAACTTGACTGTCTGAGTCTCCACCACAAAGTAACACAAAGAGAAAAGAAGAACTATGACAACTATCTGAAGAAAGCCAAGCCAACGAATAGCAATAAGTTAGCTTGAAATCTAGCCATTGCAGCCGCTTAACAAAAGTCCTAGAAATTCTGCAAAATTCTGGAAATACACAATCATTTGACTGTTCAAGGATCTGTTGCCCACCTAGAGATGTTCAGACTGCTGAAATGTGAAATTAGTTTGTCTTGGAAGGAATTAAACATGTCCTGGGAAGGATGTCTCCTGCATGTGAAAGGGATAGCAATGTGCCCAGTGGAGATTTGGGTACAATGACCTTACATCTCTAACAGTAATGGGATGACGAATTTCCTTCACAGGAGGAAACACAAACACACCTGGATTTTTAAAATGCAGTGGAAGAAAAATCCTAAAACTTCACCTTTGTAGGTTACAGGGCTTTTTTAAAGGCCGCCTAGGAGCGCTGGTCCTAACTGGGTTAATACTTGCCTACTTGGAGGAACCTTACAGTAGAGCAACAACTCACCACATCAGCAGTGACTGCAAGAAACAACTTAGAGAGACTCAACACGGTATAAAACAGCTGCTTGATCATTACAAGTTCCTGCAGAAGTGGGCCATTTAGGGGATTTCAAAAGCTATCTTATGCCTGCCTGTATAAAGCAAAAGGTGTCTGCAGCCTTGTCTTGGTCACCACTAATAGGCTTCGGCAACTGTGGACCATACTGCATGTTAGAGATGTCCCTTACCTGCACTCATGTGCTATCTCCCCAGTTATTTGCCTCTTATTCATACATGTTCCCCTCTTCCCCTTCCCTCTTTGGGGCTCAGAGTGCCATCAGCATCCGCTGCAGAAACCCTCACCTGTCCTGGGTTCCGTGTGACCCCACTTTCTCGTTCTTCATGCAGAAATCGGGCGAGCTCTGCAGGTAAATCAGCTCTGTCTCTTTAACCGGCCTGATATCAATATCCTTTGGCACGAGGTATTTGCGTGTGCCCATGGGCCGGTGAACGACCTTGGTGGCTGATAAGTACTTGTTTTTGAGGTCCATTGCAATGTCTCGCAGCTCTTGAAGGCCTTTCCAACAGGTCTTGATAGAGCATGACCCAGAAACTCCATGGCACTTACATTTCATTTCAAGAGAGGCTTTCAAGACCTGCAAAAAGGAATGCAGGAGTTAGGAAATGCCCTTCTCTTACCTCCAAACATCCCACAAGCTTACTAAAGAAGGCACTTTCTTAGCAGGGACTGCTATAGGAAAGGAATGCTGCTCTGATTTCTGCACAGTCACTCTAGAGTAGCTACTGTGCAAAGGGAACGAGATCCCACAGCTCCTTGGTGATCATTATCAGCCCAGGACTACTTTCACCAAGGCGCCTTCACAGCCAGCAGACAGAAGAGTATTTTGAATTTTGATCAGATATCTACACAGGGCTGTATTTCCACCCTCTAAATTCCTAAGGAGCTGAAAACCAAATATAATTAACATCCATTCCTGCCTCCGGCAGCTTTGGACTTGGGGTAACAGAGATGTCAAGGCTCTGATGAGCTCAGGGCACCCTCACCCTGCCTTTCTGCTGGCCATGGGGCCAAAAGAGCCTTTTACTTTGGTTCTGCACTATTCTCATTTCAGTGGGACATGGCAAGAAGCTTCCAGGAAGGGATGAATGCACCAGCCACAGCAACACTATGTCCCAAACAAAAATTGGTCCATTGCAATTAAAACAAAAAGTCAAGACATTTATTTTATGAAAATTAAAAAAAAAGCAGATAGAGTGGGAGTGGTGGAGAAAAACACCCAGGGGAGGCAAGTTTGGTGTGGTTGTGCTCTGCAAAGGTGAGTTCAACCTGTAGCTACAGAGTAAGGCATCAATGAGCCCAACATGCTCCAAGTTTTATCTGCTCCAACGCCTGAGCCCTGGAAGGACCAAGCTGGGTGGTAGGACCAGCCTAGGGAAGCTCTGCAGCCCCAGAGATGGGGTGTAGGGGGTCAGCTTTACAGTCCTCCACCCATTTCTCCAGGCTGAGATGGGGATGTGCACCTTGGTGCACACCAAGCACTACAGGTGGTAGGCATTATCCCTCCAGGAGATGCAAGCTTCTGCCAGATATGGGAATAATCACTGGCAAAGAGGTTTGAGAAGGAGAAATCTGCCCTGCTGGCTGCGGGGGTGGCTGGGAGGCAGCTGCTGGTGGACACGTCTGGCAGATGCTAATCCTCCACGCTTACACAGCACTTCTCCTGCGCAACGCCCTTGGCAGAGCACGACGGGACCCATCCCCACCACACCTCCTGGGGTAAGCAAGCCAGAGCCATCCCTGGCTGTGGGAAAGGTGGCAAGGAGACATCCCACCCATGGTTATATAGGGCTGATAATAGCATCGAGGACCTCCTGAGTCCCAGCGTGAGTTATAAAGCCACAGTCCTCAGCAGGCCAAAGGAGATCAGAGCAATCTGGGAGAAACCTGCTCCTTTCGCTAGCTGATAGAGACACTGAACCTCACAGAGCGACCGACCACTACAGATGATTGTACAATTACAATAACTCTGGTGGATTTGTTACCTGTCTCCCTACTTCACTGTTGTGCATGCCAAGGAGCACTGGTCCTAACTGGGTTTGGAGGAACCATACAGTAGAGCAACAACTCACCACATCAGCAGTGACTGCAAGAAACAACTTAGAGAGACTCAACACGGTATAAAACAGCTGCTTGATCATTACAAGTTCCTGCAGAAGTGGGCCATTTAGGGGATTTCAAAAGCTATCTTATGCCTGCCTGTATAAAGCAAAAGGTGTCTGCAGCCTTGTCTTGGTCACCACTAATAGGCTTCGGCAACTGTGGACCATACTGCATGTTAGAGATGTCCCTTACCTGCACTCATGTGCTATCTCCCCAGTTATTTGCCTCTTATTCATACATGTTCCCCTCTTCCCCTTCCCTCTTTGGGGCTCAGAGTGCCATCAGCATCCGCTGCAGAAACCCTCACCTGTCCTGGGTTCCGTGTGACCCCACTTTCTCGTTCTTCATGCAGAAATCGGGCGAGCTCTGCAGGTAAATCAGCTCTGTCTCTTTAACCGGCCTGATATCAATATCCTTTGGCACGAGGTATTTGCGTGTGCCCATGGGCCGGTGAACGACCTTGGTGGCTGATAAGTACTTGTTTTTGAGGTCCATTGCAATGTCTCGCAGCTCTTGAAGGCCTTTCCAACAGGTCTTGATAGAGCATGACCCAGAAACTCCATGGCACTTACATTTCATTTCAAGAGAGGCTTTCAAGACCTGCAAAAAGGAATGCAGGAGTTAGGAAATGCCCTTCTCTTACCTCCAAACATCCCACAAGCTTACTAAAGAAGGCACTTTCTTAGCAGGGACTGCTATAGGAAAGGAATGCTGCTCTGATTTCTGCACAGTCACTCTAGAGTAGCTACTGTGCAAAGGGAACGAGATCCCACAGCTCCTTGGTGATCATTATCAGCCCAGGACTACTTTCACCAAGGCGCCTTCACAGCCAGCAGACAGAAGAGTATTTTGAATTTTGATCAGATATCTACACAGGGCTGTATTTCCACCCTCTAAATTCCTAAGGAGCTGAAAACCAAATATAATTAACATCCATTCCTGCCTCCGGCAGCTTTGGACTTGGGGTAACAGAGATGTCAAGGCTCTGATGAGCTCAGGGCACCCTCACCCTGCCTTTCTGCTGGCCATGGGGCCAAAAGAGCCTTTTACTTTGGTTCTGCACTATTCTCATTTCAGTGGGACATGGCAAGAAGCTTCCAGGAAGGGATGAATGCACCAGCCACAGCAACACTATGTCCCAAACAAAAATTGGTCCATTGCAATTAAAACAAAAAGTCAAGACATTTATTTTATGAAAATTAAAAAAAAAGCAGATAGAGTGGGAGTGGTGGAGAAAAACACCCAGGGGAGGCAAGTTTGGTGTGGTTGTGCTCTGCAAAGGTGAGTTCAACCTGTAGCTACAGAGTAAGGCATCAATGAGCCCAACATGCTCCAAGTTTTATCTGCTCCAACGCCTGAGCCCTGGAAGGACCAAGCTGGGTGGTAGGACCAGCCTAGGGAAGCTCTGCAGCCCCAGAGATGGGGTGTAGGGGGTCAGCTTTACAGTCCTCCACCCATTTCTCCAGGCTGAGATGGGGATGTGCACCTTGGTGCACACCAAGCACTACAGGTGGTAGGCATTATCCCTCCAGGAGATGCAAGCTTCTGCCAGATATGGGAATAATCACTGGCAAAGAGGTTTGAGAAGGAGAAATCTGCCCTGCTGGCTGCGGGGGTGGCTGGGAGGCAGCTGCTGGTGGACACGTCTGGCAGATGCTAATCCTCCACGCTTACACAGCACTTCTCCTGCGCAACGCCCTTGGCAGAGCACGACGGGACCCATCCCCACCACACCTCCTGGGGTAAGCAAGCCAGAGCCATCCCTGGCTGTGGGAAAGGTGGCAAGGAGACATCCCACCCATGGTTATATAGGGCTGATAATAGCATCGAGGACCTCCTGAGTCCCAGCGTGAGTTATAAAGCCACAGTCCTCAGCAGGCCAAAGGAGATCAGAGCAATCTGGGAGAAACCTGCTCCTTTCGCTAGCTGATAGAGACACTGAACCTCACAGAGCGACCGACCACTACAGATGATTGTACAATTACAATAACTCTGGTGGATTTGTTACCTGTCTCCCTACTTCACTGTTGTGCAGATGCATCAGTTTATTGGCTTGTGATCCTGATTTTTTCATCTTCATGGGAGCATCTGAAAATTTGGACCCCATGATAAGACCATAGTTGAGGTTGTCTGCACATCCTCCCCATCGATACCCAGGTCCAGGTGTCTCACCTGGGATGGGACCACAGGAACAGCCAGGGAGGTCCCCGGTGGTGCAGGCTCTGGCAATGGTGTGGCTGATGGCAGCAGCAGAAAGGGCATACACAAATGCTGACTCCCTTGTGCCTGGAAGAGACAAGAACTCCATCTCAGCCTCCTGGGACAGTCAAATGCTTCCCAAAAAGAGACCCACACAATCTGTACCCCACAGAACAGCAAACACACCAGCTCATTGCAGCTGTGACGTCCCATGGCATCACCAGCTTAGAATACATCTTCTAAGTGAGATCTTCAACATGAGGCAACATCCCAGCAGGTTAAAGAGGCACATGGACTTATGCAACTTGTCCATTGTGGTGTGATCTGCTCTTGGAGCATGTGAAGACGCTGCCTCATGGACTTTCCTGCCCCCTTTTGCCCCTGTGTTGGATGGTTCTTGCCAGCAGGTCGTGGTGGTCTTGCCAGCTGGTCATGGCCAGAATGCTATGCATGGAGGTGGTGGGAGGCCATAGAGGTGCAGCACAAGGTCACTCTCTGACCCATATGAGAGGTGACTGCAGTCTCACACGTAGTGTGTGCTGCTTGACAAGTCTCCATGCCCTGAACAACAGCTTCATGGCTGTGAGCAAGCACACCACGAGTCCCAACGAGACGAGCAGACCAGACTGGTGCCACGCTTTGTGAGAGCTGTGGGAGGCCAGGTCCTGGACTCAAGAGCTCCTGGGCATGAGTGGTGCCATAACATGGTCTCAGAGAAGAGGACAACTAAATTATGCAGTCCCTCCATGTTGCCTAGTGGTAGCAAGACCCTTCCCACCCAGGCACACATAGAATCATAGAATTGTCTAGGTTGGAAGAGACCCTTGGGATCATCGAGTCCAACCATCTACCCTACTCTACAAAGTCATCCCCTACACCATGTCCCTCAGCACTGCATCTAAACGGCCCTTAAACACACACACACGCTGGCTGACTCTACTCACTCATGTCCCCGGCTGAGCCAGCAGGGCTGTTTACCTCTCTCTAAGTCCAGCAGGTAGTTGGGAGCCAGCTCAATGGAAGAGCAGTTCCACCTCATGTCTGAGAAAGTTTTACGGCAGGTCTTTATCACTTCCCGTGCTGCCTGGATGATGGTCTGCATGAGCTCCAGGTTGCTGCGGCACAGCTGCACCTGGGAAACCACCAAGCCTTCGAGCTGCTTGCAGTGCTGGGTTTGATTCAGGGCCAAAGCCGAAGGAGTCTTGGACAGAGCTCTGAGGAGACAAGCACACGCAAAAAAAAGGCATTAAAACCCTCAAAGAAAGTTAATCTTCAGGTCAGTATTAATTTCCCCACTGCCTCCAGTTCAGTGAATGCTTTGGGCTGTGTTCATCCCACTTAATTTTAGCTACCTGTAAAAAAGCACTTGGTTAAAGCTGGTGAGAAAGATGGGCAACTCTTAAGAGGGATTTATCTCCTCTAAAGTAGGTGTTTAAGGTAGGTGGGAAGAAACACCCTCTTAGAAGCATGGTTTCTCTCCATCATCTAGGGGAGCCTGCACAAAGCTCCCGGGGCATATGCCAAATTGACTGAATGTGTAAATCCTTATGGGCAAGTTTTTTTTGCTGAAGAATGAAGAGGACGGACCTCCCAACACAGTAAAAAAATGACCCATCAGTTGCCTGATAACAGAAAGCTGGGTCTTCCAAGACTGTGGTATTCAGAAAAAAAAAAAAAAAAAAAAAAAAAAAAGCGAAGTTGGTGTTATCAGTGTTTTGCATTCAGCATCTGTCTCACACACTCTCTAAGGATTATGCTAAATGTCATGTAATTAATTATGGAAAAAATCCCCTGCAAGGCCTAGGGAGAAGCCACCAAGCTTGCAAAACAGATGCTTTTCCTTAGAGTTAATGCCAAGGGTCTTCACCAATTCCATCACGGTTGCACGTAGATAAGTCTGTTTCTCCAGTCTCTAAAAATTGCAGAAGCACAATGAGACTACGTGCAAAGACAGCACCATGGTCTGAGCTGAGATGGGATCCACTAACATCAGCACGTAGATTACTGTGGAAGAAACCAACAACACCCCAAAGACCCCACTGGTTTTTATACTGGGCAATGGCCAGTTTCCAGGAAAATAAATTAAAAATCAAACTGTGCCATGCATTGTACGGGGCTGTGCTCTTCTTCCCCAAGCGCCCACAGCGATCGGCAGAAGCCGGGTGTGTAACTCTCTTTGTATCTTTATGACCTGCTTAGGGTAGTCATAAATGTTATTCGTTCCCATAAAACAACTTTCTAGCTGGCTGCATCAGGAACTGGCATCTGATCCTGGCAACGCAACTGCCTTAACACATATTTCCTTCTCTCCTTGTTAAATGTGTTGCCTTTCAGTTTCATCCCAAGCCATCTTGGTTAGTTTGGCTCATTAGCAGACACATTTCTGGGTGCATTTCACTTTATTACTGTAACATCCACATCCTTCAGAAGTTAAATGAGATGGAAACGGAGGTAAAATTGAGCCCTAACCAAGATCGGGGGTATTAGCTCTGATCTCCGGTTCTCAGGAAAACACATCTATGTTCCACCAGCTCCCTCAAGGCTGGCTTGAACCAGCTGCTGTGTATGTTGGAGCTCTCTCCAGGCTCCACATAGCTGCTAACCCCAACCCCTCTTCCAGCAAGGAAATGCTGCCATCCTTGCTAGGGCTGTGTAGGTCTGCACTGACAAATTCCCAGGCGGCTGGAGTTTGGCATTTCTGGCATGAGATAATCAGTGGCAAACTTGGAAGGGAAACCACCACTCTGCTAACTATGTAAATACATACATCATACACATATTTAAAGAGGTCCATTAAATATATACAGCAAACAGAAGTTTTGGCCAGTGAATTTCAAGGAAAAAAGCGGAGTATTTAATTGTCAGAAATTCTACCCTGTAGTTTATCCTGGTCCCTTGCACATTATTGCTCATGCAACGCTCCCTGGCTAGAGAGGGGCAACTCCAGAAGGCAACCCATCCTGCCTTGGCCATGAACTGATGACCTGAGCTGGTGGAGACAAAACCTGTTGGTGATATTCTGGGTGCTCAGATATATCACGTCCTTGAAGGCATGAGCCTTTGGACAATATGAATGTCACCTGACTGCAAACCTCCACAGTATGGACCTCATGGTAGTCCTTTAGGGTCCTTCTTCAGCCCATGGAAAGAAAAAGCCACATCTAGGGAGTAATTAGCCCGATGTGCTTTTGAGATCTGCAGTAGGATAACATCATGCCCTAGAACTGCTCGTTTTCTGGACTGCCTATAGGGGCAACCCAGGCACTGAGCTTGGATGCAGACATCTGGATCGTATAAGCGCAGAGCTGGGTGAGATGTGTCCAACCCCTAGCACTTGGCACCAGAAACCTGTGAAAACTTATCCCAGAAAGCCTATCAGCAACCCTCAGGAATGGGCTGAAAAGCAAATCAGGCAAGAGGCCAAAGCAGCTCGTCACTAATAGAGTAAAGATGATAAATACTCCAGCAACATAACTCCTAGCAGCAAAATAAGAAAGCAGGGTGAAGCGGATGAAACGAGAGAGCTTCAGAGCCCTGAGCTTCAGGCAAATGAGGAAGGCTCCAGGTCTCTGAGAAGAGCTGTCTAATGGGGCACCAACTCAGTTTTCTGTGCAGAGGTGCCAAGGGATGCTTCAGAGGCCTTGGGATGTTTCACCCGGCCCTCCAAACGGATACATGTATCTCCTAGGTCCCACACCACATTTTCTAATCCTGTATAGAGGTCTTCAGCATCTTTTAAGGACCCAGAAGCCTACATTGAGGCACCTGCACCTCACCATTACGGACAAGTCAGGAACAGCAGAAATAACCACCAGCAAGTTGGGATGAGACCTGAATTTAGACTGAAACTCATCCCCACTGAGAAAAAAGGGGATTTCATACAACAAGATCACATTATTTCGGATGGCCTTCACAGAAGCAGATTTATAATACATCAATGAAGAAATTCTCCTCTTGGAAGAGGAGAAAATGTCTGCCAGACCATCAAGAGAGGAAGGACTGTGGCCCCTTTGGGGAGAACTCAATAAATGGCACTAATGGCTGTTTCTTGTTGAATTAGCCAAGCTCATTCAGCCAAGAATAAAAATGCAAGACGCAGGAAGGTGTTTTCTGAACATCTCCCAGGCCTGAACTTCATGCCTTTGCTTGTGAGAACCTATAATTGGAAACATCTCCAAGCGTCAGGAGGAAAAAGTAAAGGGTAATGGAGATGGAAAAGAAAACTCACAGTTACTGGAGTCACTTGCCGAGACCGAAAAGTGCATTTATAAATCACAGATCAGGAATGTGAGAGGCCTATTAGGTCATCTGGTCCGTGCCCTGACAGCCCAGGTTTGCTCAGTCTCTGTCCTGCATTCAGAAATGTCTTCTCCACCCCTTGTCGCATTAAGTCCTCCCCATGGAAAGGCACCAACCCTCCCTGCTCCCCAAATTCTGGCTGCACCAGGGAGGGCTGCCCATCATTGTTGGGGAACAAAGGCCATTCGTGGGGCAGTGGAAAGGAAATCATCTTCCCCCAGAAGAGTCTTGTCCCTGGTGGGATCCCTGTCCTCCATCTCCACCCAGAATCCGTTGACAGTGGGAGAATAGTCAAGTCTTCTCTTGGTGTATCCATGAAAAGGAGCATCCTGAAAGGCTTGTGTATAGAATTATAGAATGGTTAGAGTTGGAAGGGACCTTAAAGATCATCCAGTTCCAACCCCCTGCCATGGGCAGAGACACCTCCCACTAGACCAGGTTGCTCCAAGTCCTGTCCAACCTGGCCTTGAACACCTCCAGAAATGGGGCATCCACAGCTTCTCTGGGCAACCTGGGCCAGTGTCTCACCAGTCCCTGATAAACATCTTTCTCTGGACTCACACCCTTCATGTGAGAAGCAGCACATGGGGATTTTACCTGCTGCCACCCTGTTAAATGCTGCTTTCACTTTTTCCTCCTTCTAACATCATGCTCTCCTCCCTTGACTCTCGTGCACCATCCTTCATTCTCCAGAAAGCTGAGGACAACTGAGGGGTGGTGGCTGGTTTGTTGTTTTTTTTAAAATATACATATTTGACCCACCCCTTTAAATAAACAGGCCCCAAACCAAACATCTCCTGCTTTATATATAGCATAGCAGGGCTTTCGATTGAAGTTATGGCTACTGACAGAAAACCATAAACATAATTACAGAGGAAATATGATGCATGGATGGATCATGACATTCGTTTACTCTTTTAATTATCTCAGACAGTTAATAAATTCATTTGAAAATATGAATGCTCTACAGTTTTAGGTTCTTTGAGAGGTATGGGACTGTTTCTGCAGATCTGGGCTCCATGAGAAGACTATTCATAGGAGCAGCAGCTTGGGAGAAGTACCTTCAGATCTGAGCAGACATCAGTGGAAGCCACAAGTTATTTGGTTTAAAAGGACCACTGTGAGTAGGACACTGTTCCTGGTCAAGCCAAAGGGAGAAAAACTCCTTGAATAGAATAGTGAAGCATTGGTGCCCTTTAAAACACCCTTAAAGGGTGGAAGGATGTCCTCTCTTTCTGATGTGGGCTCTCTCTGGGAGGCATCTCCCCTTCCTCCCTTGCGTGATGTGACCCAAGAAGGTCTCACAGAGGGACTGTTGGTGAATCCATGAACTTCTGCTTCAAAATGCCCGCTTTGCTTTCTGTGAAGGCACTCTCTTTTTTTATTCCTATTCTTAAACCCCTTAATCTTGCAGGGATTTGGGTGAAAGAAAAGGATTTAGACAAAATGCCATTTCTCTGGAGAGTGAAGCGTGCGGTAAACTTTAATGAAGAGAGGCAGCAATTGGGGTTTTTTTGCATTCAATCTCATCAAAGGTCTTTAATCTGCAGGAGCCTCATTTTCTCAGGTTTTCAACTGGAAAAGGCTCACAGGACTGTTACAAATGCCTTGTCTAAGCTCCTGGTAGAGGTAGCCCATACCCTTGCCCTGCATCAGTCCTGGTCTGGGGACCACAAGCACTGGGAAAGCCACCACATCTCCCAGTAAATGCTTCCAGTGGTTCTGCAAAGCCTTTTCAAACAGAGAAGTGGGATTTATATGGTAAGAAGGAAAGAAAAAAAAAATAAAAAGAAAGAAATAAAGAGGAGGAAGAGGGAGAGGAGTTGGGGGGGAAAAAAAAAAAAAATCCAAGCTTGAAGTAAAAAGCGGAAAAAAAAAATCCAAGCTTGAAGTAAAAAGCTTAAAATAAGAGCTGCTTTCAGATACGGTGCCAAATCCAGAGCTGGCAGTAGTGGGCACAAGGCCATTGACTTCCAGCCCAAGCTTGACTGAAGTCGATGCCAGCGGCGAGTTGGCTCACTGCGCGCCGAGGACGGCCGTGGAGCTTTGTCAAGTTTTCCCCGAGCTGCCTACGGACCGAAGAGCAAACTTCAAAGCTGTTGTGTCCCGTTCCCCCCCCTCCTCCTCCTCCTCCTCACCCCCAGCCCGCTCCCCTCCCGCCGTCTCCGTCCTGCAGCCCTTCCACGGCAGCTCATCTAGCAACCCCTTTGCCAGGCAGACGGTCTCCTCGCAGGCGCCCGTGCCCCAATGTCCCAGTTCTCCCCCCTCCTTGGTTGAAGGAGAAAAGCAGGAGCTGCCGGGAAACGCAAAATCTTTCCATTTTCTCCCCTGCTTTCTGCTGGCTGCTCGAGGTCGGTGAGCTGGGGTACATCCCGGGTTCACCAAAACGCACGGTGGAGCCACCGTTTGCTCCTGAAGAGCTGGGATTTCACCATGGGAATCGTGCAGCAAAGCTGACCTTGTAGCTGGGGATGGTGCTCAGCTAAGGATGGCTCCAGAGGGCATGGGACATGCCCAGGACACCACAACAGGGACAGGCAGGGCCTTTCCAAAGCGACCAAGCTCCTCCTAAAGTTGATGAGTCCCTAATGCCACCACTTGCTGTCATGGGCTGACCCTGTGAGCCACGCAAAAAACACCCCATTTGCTGTATTCAACCTCTTTGCCACCACTTTTGTGTTGAGGGTGACAGAGGAACAGTCCGACCTGTGTCTTGATGGCTGGGAAGAGGAGATGCCAACGCCCGGGAAGGCAGAAGTACCTCAAAAGCCACCCTGTGCCTGGTCATCCCAACATCTGGCAGACCTCTGCTGCAGGCACATCTGGCCGCAGCTCCCTCTAGTGCTCATCTATTTTTCAGCTCTACTCCAACAAGCAGCTTCAGCAAACTGCTTGGCCAAACCCAAACCCCTCCTAGGAAAGCTAAAGGGGGTGAAAAAGGAAAGGGGTGAGGTGGTAGAGCTCCTATATGAGTTGGCCCCGAGACATCTCCCATTGAAACCGATGGCTGCCTCGCATCCCCAGCTGCTGTGATGCAAAACAAGCCCTGAGGACCACGAAGTGATGCAAAAAAAACCCCAAAAAACCTCTGTTCTAAGGATGGGAAAGTGATTGCAAAACGCAGTGTGCAAAAAAGAGTCTCAGGGTCTCACAGGCATTGAATGGAAAGGCTGCCTCTCCACGGCAGCCTTGATCCTGCAAAGATCTTTCCGTACCTTCACCTTACACCCGAGTAACTCTCTGGAGCGTGGATGGAAAAGGCCAAAATAAGACATTTCTCCAGCAGCAAGAGCAGGTTTAGCAGATGCTGACTGTCCACACACCATGCTGGATGCTCGGTGGTGCATGCCTTGGCGGCGGGGAAGGGCACGATGCCGATTTACAACAGCTGGGAATCCGCACCACAGAACTCGTAAAAGCAAGCCAAATAAAATAAAACAAATAGCTCCCTTTTACCTTCTCTCCGCTTTTACCAATTTACAGGGGATAATCGTGTTACAGGGAAGTCCTAAACAGCCGAGAAGTGTGTTATTCTTCTCCCCCTCCCCTTGCAGTTACATCACACCCCGAATCAAAATTGAATTTCCTATCGCCTTCCATATCAGTCGCTCCCTCTTCCTCTGGCTTGCAAACCCAGCCCACCAGGCTGGCAAAACCCACCTCCTTATCTCCCCCCTCTCCTCCTCCTTCTTTCCCTCCCTTCCCAAATCCTCTTTGAAGCCTGCCTCTGGCACCGTGCCTACAACAACGACCCAGTGAGCAGACCGCTGAGACAAGCCCGCCACCAAAAACATCTCGTAGCACTTTCTTCCCTCTTCATCCCATCCTTTTTTCCCCCCCTGCCCCCACAATCTTTCTGTCCACGAGCACCAGAGGGAAAGGGTTGGTTGTACGGCACCCAGCACACGAGTTTAGGGCTGGGATTACAGCCCCGAGGTATTACTTGGTAGATCAGTCTCTGTTCACCAAGAGTTTACCCACATTATTTCCAGGGATGGTCCCCGAGCCCCCATCGCTGCAGTGGGGAAAAGGGTGATGGGGAAAGAGGGAAGGAAATTGGCCTGTTTCCCTAGAAAAACAAGGGTGGGGAAGGGAGAAGAAACTGCAAATGAAAAAAAAATTTAAAAAAAATAAAAATACCCAACCAAACATAATTTTGTGAAATCCCAGCTGGCAGCATCCCAGTTGTGAAGCGCCCTGGGACAGGGAGAGCAGGTCTCCGCCAGCTTTTAAACAGGTGTGAGGGGAGCCCCGGCGGCGCATCTGGATGCAGTTCATGCTTCAAATGCCACTTTAATCCCAGCTTTCATCTTCCCCACTCGCTTTTCGATAGCAGGGCGGGGATATGTCTGCTGGGAAGGGGAGGAGCAGCAACCACAGCATCTCCATCCCATCCCCAAAAGCCACCTTTGCAGCTTAACTGCTTACCGGCTGAAAGGCTGCTTTTGCCAGCAAAGCTATTAGGACCTTGCCCTGCCTTCCAGCCTTTTTTCATGTCTACAGCTTGTCAACGTGCTATCAGGTTCTCTCTGAAGCTCATCTTACCACTGTCCTTTGGAGGAACCCAGGTCCTTCACTGGGGATTTAGCACCTTGCTTAAGCAGGACCCTAATGCCAAGCACATAAATGAGCCCCTGCACTTAGTTAGGGGTCTGTACATAAGTGCTCGACCAGGGTGCCACAAAATAGCTTTATTTCTGTGCTGCATAGAAATAAAAGTTGGAAGCTACTCAGGGTCCGCCAGCCCGTGGGCATGTCACTAAGTGTCCTCCAGAGAAGATGCCTGCTCTGTGCAAGGTGCTGGATACAGGCAGAGCTGAGAGACTAAACACTCCAGAAAGGTGGCAGAAAGAAATAGCTGGGCTATGTCATTTAGCTGTGGTGGCTGCTACGAGACACGAAGCCAAGACGGGAAAGAGCAAATCAGATCCTGACTCCCCTCTACTTCCAAAGTGGTCCTTAGAGTATGGAAACAGCAAATGAAATACGCCCTGAAGTAGGTGACTATTCCTCCTGCCTGACCATATGCATTTACACACCCTATGGAGGGATTCACCCTGCTTCTCTTGGTGCATATAAAAGGTGAATGTGTGGTCCCAACCATCTGCCTGTGGTCCCAGAGGGCACCTCTTGACATTTGTGGGGGATGTTCCTCTTTGGAGAGGGTGAATCCCCATCTGTAAAGTCCTCTTTCCCATGACTGCGAGCATAGCAGCAAAAACACTGGCTCCAAGAAGAGATCTAACTTAAAAATGTCCAAATTTAAGAGTCTTTATAAAAGGCGGCATGAGGAGAGCATCAAATGATGACGACTGGGAGAGTGGAATGGAAACTAGGCATAGCACAGAAGGAGGAACAAAACAGGAACAGAATCACAGGATCTTCTAGGTTGGAAGGGACCTTAAAGATCATCTTGTCCAACCGTCGAACCTCTTGTCTCAATTTCCCCTCCTAACCCCAAGATCCCCACCTCGACGCACTACACCCTACACAACAGCCTCTTCCTGGCATTGCATTTTATTGTGCCTTTTCTTTTAAGGAAGATGCTCGTTGGAGGTTCGCCCAGGTCCCCTTGTTTTGTTTTGTGCACGGATTCAAGCGCGAGCAGAAGGAGACAGATCGCTCATCAAGGACATGAAACCAGATGGGTGTTGTGTTGGAGGTTTGCCCACGTCCCCTTGTTTGTTTTGTGCAGGGCTTCAAGCCCGAGCAGAAGGAGACAGATCGCTCATCAAGGACATGAAACCAGATGGGTGTTGGAGGGGCTTGTTTGTTTATTTTGCAGTAAGCAACTAATTGATTGCTTGCTTAAGCAAAGAAATGAGATAGCGATGTTTTCACTTTGTTTGCAGTGACACCCGATCCAGAGCTGACCACGCTCCCTGGTATTTCTTCACCCACTCCCCCCCCCCCTAATTTTTAACACCCTTCACGAAATCCAAAGGTTAAAAGGTCCACGAAAAAAACCTCATGTTATCTGTCAAGCATCCCCTGCGGTTGGAGATTGGCAGCAATATCTCAGCTGCCCTCCCCTCCTGCTCTCAGCTCCTACTCAGCACGACCAGAGGTCCCGGTGGGAGAGTTTCCCGGTGTGGCAGGAGCCAACACTAGAAACTTCATTAAGTGGCTCATGTGAGCCTTCAAGTGTGTGCCTTCCCTTTGGTATCAATGAGGGGAGAAGGGAAAAAAAAAGCCAGCCTAAATCGTGCATATTTGGGAAAGAAGATGGAGACGTATTGTTAGCACAAGCCCCCAGTACACACACTTGAAATCAATGAATGCCCGGAGAAACACAGCCCTTGCTGCTCTTTAAATGGCTTTACAGCGGGCTCCAAATACAAATAGCAGTCGCAAAAACGGGTACGAGACCAGCAATGCCTACAAAAGGCTTTTAAAAAAAATGCAGAGAGATAGCCAGGTACTTACATCCATTTTATCCCATAGCAAAGCCCCGTCTGCAGAATCAAAGAGAGAAAACCAGCTAAGAAAAATCGCAGACTCGGCTTCATTTTCTCCACCGTCCCCCACTTGCCGAAGGAAATCAGCTTCTCCAAAGGGAAAAAAAAAAAAAAAAAAAAAAAAAAAAAAAGAGGAAAATAAGAAAAAAAAAAAGGAGTTTTCCTAATTTTCTGCACGACGTATTTCCCTGCAGTTTGGGTGTTGCTCCTCCTTGGAGATGAACAACCTGAAAGGAGAGAAAGAAAAGAGCAGGAGCTACGGTTAACTCTGAAGTTTGGCGAGTCACCGCACGCGCGCGCATGAGAGAGAGAGAGAGAGAGATCTATTATCCTAATTGCAAAGGAGTGGTTTATGAATCATGAAAAAGTTTGGATTATCCCCTTTCCCCAGTCCCCTCCCTCCCTCGCCAAGCCTTGATACAACCTTTCGAGTCGACAGACAGACAAACCGTATGGCTTGAATTACACCCTGAGTTATGGTCTGATTGTGTGTTTCCATTTAACCCTGCACATGGCAAGACTTCATTCGCTGCTTCACTTTTTTTCTACCCCCTTCATTCCCCCCCCTCCACCTCTCTCCTCTCCAAAAGGTTTGTGTAACTGCTCGGGAAGAAGGGGAAAAAAAAGAAAAAAAAAAGATAAATCTTTAAAAAAAGCCCCAATTTCAGCTATTCATCTCTCCCTTCTTTTCTTTCCAGATTTCTTCTTCTCCCCCCCTTATTTTTTCCCTTCTCCTCTTTTTCTGCGGAGAAGACAGACAATAAAAACTGCTTTTCCCAATTCCACGCAGGTGCCCGTGCCCTGCAGATGTTTCGGTCTGATCTGCTACAACAAATGCGTTTTGCTCTTTCCCTTCTGCTTTCCTTCTCACCTCATTAACTCTGCCTCTCACTTCTTCCAAGTCCTCGGGCACCTGGAGCTCACGGAAAAGGCTGCAACTCCGTAAACAGAAAAAAATAAAAATAAAAAAAAAAATCACGTTTCTGTCTCCGGGGAGCAGCCAGAAGGAGACAAAAGCTCTCAAGGATTTCCCACACAGACTTTTTTTGTTGTTGTTGTTGTTTTATCCCCCTCCTTCTTCAGTCCAAACAAATAAACAAACCAGGTGCAGGACTTAAATTTCTTAGAGGGGTCCTCTCTGTCTCCGGGGCACGGCTTGCTTATTTTAGCAGCAGTATTAATAGCAGTAAATGGGTTTCCCTTCAGTTATTCACTTCAGACACCGCTCGGGGCTGCTCTTTGTGGTCTTTGCGGTGGTTTCCCACCCCACCAGAAAGCCAATAATAAAATAAACAGGAAAAAAAACCCAGCCTGCCACATCCCGCCTGTGAAGTCTCCCAACCCCTGGCATCCCTGAGCTGTGACCACACGTCGTGTCCCCCCCAGCCCTGCCACCCCCTCGAAGGGGTTTGGGATAGAACTAGGAATGGCTGGAGCAGTCGGCATCACTTAAGGGAACCCCTTACCCTAGGAAAAAACACATCCCTCCTGCCCCCCTCTCAGCTCTGGGTTTGTCCCAGCTCCTTCTTTCTGCCTCTAGACCCCAATTTGGGGAGCAGTTGGGTCAGGGGAGGGGAAGGATTATTTCTGGGTGAGTTTTTTTATTTTTTTTCCCTACTATCTCCAGTGTATTTTTTTCCATTCAGGCTGCTTTTTGCCTGTCCCAGCCTGGTGTAAAAGGGTTACTAGAGAAGTGCTGTTATTACAAAGGATTTTAATAACCTCTAGGGGCGAGTTCCCGGCTCCCTTGAAGTCCGAGACAAAACTCCGACTGACTACAAGGGAGGCAGGATTTCATGGACACAGCTTGTTTTTTCTTGAATGCCCGCTCAGATTTGGGTTTGTTGTGTCCCTCGAAGGCAGTGCTCCCACGAGCATCCACTCACCCTTCTTATTTGCAGGGTCTTGCCGTTATCTTTTCATCTTTGGAAGCTCTCTGCTTTCCCTCCCTCCCTCCCTCTCCACTGGAAACCTTCAGCCCTTAATCCTGCCCATGCCTTTTAGTGTCCATTTAGATATTTCAGACCCCTTATCTCCCGCCCGTGAGTTGCTGAACAGCACAGGAGTTGGGTGTAAAATGTCTCAGATGGTCTAAAACCCTCTTACAAACCCTGACCAGCCAACACCATCCTGTTTTACCCTTAAGAAGCTACATTTTGGGGGTTCCCCCCTTGCAAGGAGGAATAGAAGTGATCTAACCCCCCCAATCCTCACCCCAAGAGCCACAAACTTAGCCTATAATTGCCCCCCCTGTTATTTGGGGAGGTAATAATGCCTTTTTCCACTCAGTCCAGCACAGGTTGAGTTTACAAGAGGAATTTGCAAGGGGAGGGGAGGGAGGGAGACTCTTTGGGGCAGACGTGATGTTTACAGCTCTGGAGAGCTCTGGGTCACTGATCAAACCAGAGGCAAGTGGCCTCCTAAAAAAAACTGGAGCCGTTTTTAAACTCAAAGCTCCCTTTTTCTCTTCACCCCAAGGCTGTTTGCGGCAGAGCCCCGCGCTCCCCCACACAGAAAACACTCCCATCCGACACCTCCAAGAATCCGATCCCAAGGATGGGAATAGGCAACAGGAACTATATATTAAAGGCTGAGTATCCCTCTCGCATTTTTCCAGCTTTCCCACCCAAGAAGGAGAGACATCCACCTGCCCCCGCTGCCAGCCTGGTGCTCTCCCCGGGAGCACAGTTGCCTGTTTTAGGGGTCGGGGCAGACGTGATGTTTACAGCTCTGGAGAGCTCTGGGTCACTGATCAAACCAGAGGCAAGTGGCCTCCTAAAAAAAACTGGAGCCGTTTTTAAACTCAAAGCTCCCTTTTTCTCTTCACCCCAAGGCTGTTTGCGGCAGAGCCCCGCGCTCCCCCACACAGAAAACACTCCCATCCGACACCTCCAAGAATCCGATCCCAAGGATGGGAATAGGCAACAGGAACTATGTATAAAAGGCTGAGTATCCTTCTCACATTTTTCCAGCTTTCCCACCCAAGAAGGAGAGACATCCACCTGCCCCCGCTGCCAGCCTGGTGCTCTCCCCGGGAGCACAGTTGCCTGTTTTAGGGGTTTGGGCGCATCCCCAAATGACTTGCAGGAAGGATGGGGCTCAGGGGAAGGGAATGAGGGGTGGTGGGGCTCCTTGCAGCCCCCACATCTCCCCTCTCCACGCAGCTTCTCCTCTCCCTTGCAGCCCTCTGCATCTCCCCCTTCTCCATTGCAACCCCTGGGTGTCCCCGCTACCCTACGGTCTCCCCGTCTCCTCTCTCCATTGCAGCCCCCCACATCTCCCTTGATGCTTGCAGCCCCGAGTCTCCCCTTTCTCTTGCAGCCCTCCCATCTTAGGTGTCCCTATCCCCTTCTCCATCTCCCCTCTCCCTTCTAGCCCCCGGGTCCCCCCCTCTCACTGTCAGCCCTTGGGTGTCCAGGCTCCCCCTTCTCTCCCCTGCAGCCCCAGGGTCTTAGGTCTCTCTACACCCTCAGGGTCTCCTTCTCCCTCTGCAGCTCCCAAATCTACCCTCTCTCCTGCACCCCACCAGGTCTCAGGTCTCCCTGCACCCTCCCCTCTCTCCTGCAGCCTCCGAGTCTCCTCTCCCTGCATCCCCCCAGCTCTCCCCTCTCCCTAAAATCCTCTGAACCTCTTCTCTCTCCCCACACCCCCACGGGTCTCCCCTCTCCCAACATCCCCCTATTCTCCCCTCTCCCTTCCAGCCTCTTCTCTCCCTGCACCTTCACAGGTCTCCCCCTTCCCTACAACCCCTTATTCTCCCCTTTCAGCCTCCAAACCTCTTCTCCCCCTGCATCACCCCGGGGTCTCCCTTCTCCCTACATCCCCCTCCCCACCTCCCTGTTCCCTTGCACCCTCCAAGCCTCTTCTCTCTCCGCACACCCCCGTCCCAGGTCCCCCTTCTCTGCACTCCCAGACAACCTTTCCTGTGGAAAAGCCTGTCCCTTCAGCCATCTGGTCTCACTGTGAATCTCTGGTACCTGATTAAGGAATCTGTCACATCTGACTGAATTTAGTCACAAATACATAGCTCTAAAACATCAAAGGGGTTTTTCTGTTACTGAACTTCCAGCAGTTTCCTTTCTTCTGGAAAAGAGTATTTCTGAAACTTGTTTCTGCTGGTGTCTGGGTGCTGCTGGCACTGACTCCCAGAGCTGGCTGGTGACCCAGCCTGTTGTGGGGATGAGTCACTCCATCTCCTCTGTGAGCCATCGCAGCCTCCGGGACTCCCCCTCTCCCCGCATCCCCCCGCTCTTGCCCACCCCCGTTCGCCTCCATCTGGGACGGGATGGATCCCGCCGGGACGCTGCTGTCGTGTCCCCCCCCGCCTCCTCCTCCTCGTCCCGCATCTCCCCTCCGCGGTCCCCCCTCCGCGCTTACCTCCCGCCCGTGCTGCGGGGCTGCGCGGGGGCCGGGGCTGCTCTGACGGGGCGGCCGGCGGAGCCGCCTTATATGC